CAACAGGCCGGGTAAGGCAAATGGGAGAAGTCTCTGCCATTTGCCTGCGGTGGTTTGGGGAGGCAACACCAGGTTCTGGGGCTTTGTGGGGGCCTCTCCTTTAAACCATGAGCAGGTCTCCCACATGTGCAGCAAAAACGGAGGTGGATGTAATCCTGGGTCCCCCACATCCTCCTCCAGGGATAGGGGTAACCCAGACAAAGCCCAGCAACCCTGGGAGAGAGCTGGTGTGCTCTGGGCATTAACGGGAACCTGCTCTGAGCTGCCTCTGGACACCCCAGCCCGTTACCGCAGGCTCACGGTGATGCCCAGCACCTTCTGCTCAAACGCTGCAACGCTACAGCTGCTCCCCCAACACCATCACCCGGCTTTGAACACCCCCGTCTCCTCCTTGGCCATATCCACTTCATTTTGCCCAAGTCTGGTCACGTGCTTGTGCCAACCTAACGCAGCACAACGCAGCCAACGCTGGCACGACAGCTTGCCAGGTGGGTGAAAAGACCCCAGTTACAGCCCATCCCTCCAGCTGGGCTCACACGCGATTCCCTCCATCCCCGTAGAGCCCTCTCCTCTGCCCCGTCTTTCCTGCAGAAGAAACAAGTCCCTTGTCGTTATTACAAAAGGCCTCGTTTAATTGCTCATTTCCCATGCCAGACACCAGGGGAGTATTTGATCACATTATATTTTTTTTTGTTAAACATCAATTCATCAAGATGCACAGCTCCAGTTCCGCGGGGTGGGAGAAGGTGCTGCAGGGAGGGCAATGGGGGGAGACAACCTTCCTGCAGCCAAACTGCCTGGGGATCCCAGATCCCAGATCCACCTGCTATAAATTCCACCTGCTCAGAACAGATTTTTCCTCTTTTCATCCTCTTCTGCATCTGTCCCCCATGACAAACAAAAAACAAACAACAGAAATGTGGGGGGCCCAGCTCTGTGGCCAGTCTTTGGCACATCAGGAGGAAGCAGATGCCTAGAAGGGGGAGCTGTGGCAAGGCTGGGACATGGGACCTCCATGTGCAGCCCCAGAGTTTGCAGGTTCCAGTAGCAGGTTGGAAAGAAACCCCCGAGTCTTGCTGCAATTTCTTGTTCCTGGGAAGGAGGCACTGGAGACCAAGGTCCTGGGAGCAGTCAGCAAGGGAAA